CGCTTTCACTATTGGTGTTGTGTGTTAATTTCGATCAGTTCGGTGTGTGTGTGATGACTGTGCTCTTTGTTGTCATAAATCGCATGCTCAGCCGGACCGGTTAGTTTTCCTTGATTCTGTGACAACCGCCTCGTTATTCGACTTACGTAATTGACCGTGCAAGCAAAAAAGTGAATAACCAGGAAGGTAAGGATTATTATTAGTTTATCTCTGATAGTCGTGGTAAAATCACCAAATTATCACCCCGAAGGAGGAGTGTTCGAATCCCACCACCATCGCCTAACTTTCCCCATTGTAGGTATTGTATGTCACCCCCGTTTGATTGACCGCTTCCCCCTTCCTGAAAATTGTATCTTTGCATATTCAATAAAAAGAAGTAAAAATGAAAATGAAATGAAATTGTTGGTTTGATGTTTCTCGCGAGGTATCCACTCACGCATCGATTAAATTTCTTCACAACCATCATCTACCTGAATTCGTTATTTTCGGGGTTGACACTTCACCCTGTCATTCTAATATATTCCCTCTAATTTTTCATCCAAATAGTCGGGTCAGGAGCAGCAGCACCGAAAACCGCCGCCAAAACATTATATGACTATTGATTGAATAAACTAAATTCAGCTACTCGGGCCGCCGCCTGTTCTATTCGTCGGTTCGGTATTTCGCTGCTCATATCGTCTTTGAAACGTAGTCGTACAACTAACTCATTTTCTGCTGCCATTGTTCCTCACACTAGTGGTCTTTCTCTGATGTTCTCAATGAAACCCGTTGTTTTGCAGAGTATGCCTTATTTTATCAAGTCTGTCCTCTCTTTTGGTTTCATTTCAACACATTCTGCGCGCTTCGGATGCTTGACATCGTGCGACAGTTCTCATGCACTTGACGGAGACGACGCTGAGAATATGTGTTCACCGTTCAAATTTGCTTGGGGGTAGACAGAACGACTTAATTTTCCCATTTTTCTCCTTAAGTAATTAAAATTTTTTTTTCCTCCCCTTATGATGACAAAATGATGGCGCCGTGGGTTTGGCTGAAAAATCGCTTTATTTTGTTGATTAAAACGTTGTGATTGTAAAATTTGGAAATGTAAACATAACGACCGTACAGCGAACATTTTCGTAAAACGCCGCACAGTTGGTGGTTTCCACGTCTTGGAGACATAGATGATACGTTGTCCGTCCGGCTGTACCACAGACTTCATGTTCCTCCCCGTAACCGGTAGACCATATCCAAGAAAATCCTCATCCCCAAAACTTCCCCTAGCTGACCACGATATGATCAGCTGAATTAATCCTTCCCATCAGGACGCGTTTTTCCTCCGCCATCAACTACCTCGTTTCTGCACGAAATACCAAGGTTTCCTTAGCAACGTTTCAGAGATGAAACTGCGTTGGCAAACTGGTCGATGGGACATTACGGTTACCGAAGCAGCCGACAATCTGGACTCAGAATGACGCTTACCCGGTGCGACCCTGCTCAAACGCGATCACTCTCTAAGGGGTGGGGTGGGGGGCGTGGTGCTACTCTATTTTAACAGCATATCACAATGCGAGGAAATTAATTGTTCTGCTGCGGTTGATGACTGATTATGGGGCAAATTACAACTGTCCTAACACATACAGCACAATACACACAGCATACTTGATGTGCTTTACCGTTCTCCTTCGTTCATAGACCTAGCCCATGAGACACTGCTTCAGCTTATTCATTAAATTTTTTCATTCAAGTTTAAGCATGTCCAAAAAATGGACCACTTCAGTTACCAAAATTTGGTGAAATCAGTGACCTCAACCATTTGAGCGGAGTTTCATTCCGTTTATTGAATCGTATTAACTTGACAATTCTGTGAAGGAACAAACCAGGTTCTTAACCGATCAGTCGTTGTCGGTTTTGGAATTGGTCTTAGCAAACAAAAGAACTGATGATGGAAACGAATTCTAGTACAATCCTATCAGGTCGTATTAACCATGCTGTTTTGTTGTTTGACTACATTTACTGTGCATCTTACCGCTAAATTTTGCACGTTTATTGATTACACCAAAGATGAAATTTTGGAACAAGAACTAATGAGTGATTTCATCATTATACAGAGGCGGTTGTCGTAGTGATCCAGCTACCACTCCGTAATTCTTCTCCGGGTATTGTCCGAAGTCATGGAAACCATTCTTGCAGATGATGTGATCAGTCACCTGGAAAAATGAAACGTATTATCCCCGATGCGACGTGGCTTTTGACGCAAGCGATCGTGTACCATTAACTTGCTTCTGGCCCGAGAAGAAAGGACTAGAGCAGTTGGTCCTGATGTCGCAATGGACCTAGTCTACTTCAACTTTTCCAAGACTTCTGACCGTGTGAACCATTAAATCCTGTTTAGGAAACTTCACAATCATGGATTTCGGAAAGTTTTACTGCGTTAGCTAAAATAATTTCTTAGACAACACACTACGGTAGTCTAGATTTCTGCGTCACTATCTGTTCCTATCAGTGTAGCC